CCTCTGGCCTGTACCCCAGTTCTGTATGCACAAATAAATCTTTAAAAGAAAAAAAATTAGAAGAAAATAGAATATCTTAGTTACTTTGGGTTTAGAAGGATTTCTTCCATATGACAAAAAGGATGAACAATTATTTTTGATTATATGAATATTTAAAAATGATTGGTTATTTAACTTTGGACAAAAATTATAAAGGTTTAGAGCAATTAAAAAATCTCACAAATGGAAAATTGAAAAGTTTTGATGCTCAAACTCTTACGAAAATGAAAAGATGAGCTGTCATATGAAAGGAAATGCAAAGAGGACTATATGCCATAGTCTTACAGCTGGAATATGTAGAAAACCCTTAAAAATAATTAGACAAATGAATTACTCAATTTTAAATATTTACACATCAAATATGCATGATAGCAAAAAGCATACCATTAAGGACTTTGTGTCAAGCTTAAACTAAACTAAAACTCATTTGCATGAATAAAATGTACTCACAAATAAGCTATGTTTATTTTAGTTCTATTGAAAATAGTGGAAAAGTGGAGGGAAACCTAACTGCTTAAATAAACTGGTTTAAGACTTGTAATAACTATTACATTAAGGTAGATAAGATGGTAGCTGCATACATCGTTGTAGATAAGAAGAATGTTGAGTAAAGGAAAGAACATTGAGGAATGATAGGCATATATATCATTACTTTAGAATAAAATTATATTTAAAAGCACTTTATCGATGCAGTCCTATATAATAAAAATAGAAAGATATGTAAGGGATTCCACTTTAGGAACCACGCAAAACCTAAAAACAGTAAAAGTGGGGAAAAAAGTACGATTACCACTGAAATTTAGCAGTTTGCAGAATGCTTAACATTCATTGAAGGGTCAAATTTTAAAAAGTGATGGGAAGTGGACACAGATATTTGGAAAGGATTTCCCTAATTGGCTCTATGAACTATGGTAGAGGAGTGAGAGTATGACATTACATAACTGGTAATGAGGAGATAAAAGTTAAGTATTGATACTG